TTGCAACTTTTACAGTTTATAAGTTGTTCTTTTGTTGAACTTAAAAGTTCACAAGGGTGTGTCAGTTCAAATATTGCTCCATTTTAGGAACATTAGGATTAACAAACATATTTGGGAAAACAAAACATTTGAATAAACATGGAATATTCGGTACTGATATCTTCAGAAGGTGGTATCTTACTCTACTGAAAGACTTTTCATTTAGAATTTTAAGATGTTATCACCTTATTATGTTTTTCACGTTTTATATATTATTTTAAATAACCTACTGTTTCTATTGAACCTACATTCTGAAGGTTTACAATTCCATAAATGCTCTTATTTCAATGCTCAAGGTTAAGATAAGTGAAAAAGTTAGACATCTTAGTCAAAGATAAGTTCCAGATCATAGTGTTGAGGGTCATTTTGATATGGATTGTTGTATGTTTACTCTTTTGAACTTCCTGGAAAGTGTGTGAGCTGTAACTTCAGAAGTTTATTAGAATAGTGACTATAGCTGCTTTTGTATCCCTAGTCAGGCAAAACACATTTACTGGGAAAACTGACTGTAAACAAAGCTTTGGGAAATTAACTGCTGAAAATTTAATATACCATAAGATGGATCTTGTACATGGCAGCTGTGCTGTTCTTTAAATGAAATGAGGCAAAATACAACTGGAAGTCAGACATTTACAAGATGCACTTTTAGGGAATGTTACAGCTGTTTTTATTGCAAAGTAATTTAATGCATACTAAGAAATAAAATCAAAGTTGTAGTATTCCTTATAAAAGAGCTTACATTAAAACTAGAAGCACAGAGGGGCAATAATTCTGTTCTACTCAGTAACTGTGATTTGTTTTGATTAACTGATCAGATTTGCAGTCACAGAGAAAGAAGAGATGCAGATGCTGGCATGAGAACAACTGGGAGCCCTCAGAGCACCTCTGGCAATGCTGTAATCTCTGCTGGCCCCATCATTACAAGGAGCGGTAGGAATGAGCAAGACCTTTTTTTAATATATTGCAGGAATTTCCAAAACCTGGGAAAGTGTCTGGCAGTTTAATGAGAATTTGTAGTGACTCGAAGGCTGGATTCTCTAGGATTCTCCATGTGTATGCTGAGGAGAGGAGGCTCTTTGGGGTTTGGGGAGCAGGACGGGGTTTTCTGTTTTATTTATTTATTTTTATTTTTTTAATACCATAGGAGATTTTGGTAGAACAACTTGGCTAATATTTATATTCAGCTCTATTACAGTTCATCCCTACTTGCAGTAGAATCACTATGGGATACAATTATACATGTAAGGCCGTTATAAAAGTCCAAACTCAGTGGGTTGACTTCCTTTCTGTCACATTTCACTGAAGATTATGGAATTTAAGGTACAATGTGCAATGTCTCAATTTAAATTCTGAGGTTAGATTGGAGATATGGAAAAATAAATGATTTGGCAGGTAATGAATATTTACTGTCACTTTCGACTCACCAACTCTTCCAGCTTCGTCTTGACATTTTTCAGTGCTGCATAAAACTAATACATGCTGTGCTTAGGCTTCAGCTGTAGGGCAAGAAATAGGTCAAACACCGTATTTCTAAACAGAGCAAGGCAGACTCTGATTTCTTTTAGATTAAAGGTGAAACTCCATAGATTTACATTTTTATTCCCAGAGATTTAAGAAAAACTCTGAATGTAGACATCAGAAAAATATTTGTGACCACTTTAGACAACATAATGAAGGTAAATTTCTTTTTTCTCCTAAATTCTACTTACAGATATTTGCAGCAGTTGCCATTAAGCAACTAAAATCCTTCCTCTTTTGCCTGAAATGTGCTTGCCCCCACATATACAAAGACAAAGCTGACCTGTCAGAGTAAGGACCCATCTAATGAGAAACCATTTTGAAAAACAGAAGATGCTGAATGATAATCAGCGTTTCTGTAATTGAAACTAATATTTTTTTTCTGCATTATACATGTCTCCAATTGAGTGTCCATGCTGTGGTCATCTGATTAGTTGACGAAAAAGTAAAAAGAATTTCAAAGTTTCATCTGTGAGCGCCTATGGGAAATAAATGAAAAATTTGCCCAGGCAAGCATTTGTTAGAGAAATGCTATCTTAGTCAAGGAATGGAAACAAGATAAAGCTTCTTATCTAAGCAATTCCTATTAAGTAATGCAACTTTGATTCAAATGCTGTGAGTTCTATTTTTAGACCTTTTAATAACCTTTTAATGCTGCGTAATTTCAAATAAGCCAAGATCTGACCAGGAATATGGAACCAAAAGTAAGAGTAGACTATAGTCAATTTTTTAAACATTTGTTGAAACCTATTGCGTGGTTTCTAGTGAAACACAAATAGGGCTAAAAGGGAAAGTAATCATTTTTGAAGTGTCTTGGTTGAGATATGGAGCTAATGTTTTTTACAGACTTCTGAATCTCGGTGGGATGTTTTTGGAGCATCCCACTCCTGCTGATGGAGGCATGGCTTGACAGGCCAGGCTCCAAGAGGTGAGATTCAGCTCTGAACTCTGCTGCAGATTTCTTGAGTGGTGTTGGGCAAGTCACCTAATAGGACTTGTACATCCCTTTTCATCCCTGTTGCATCACTCCCTGGGCTGGTCCTGAACATTGCAGCACGGCTGTAGAAGCACCTCTTGAGCTTTCCCCATTGCTCTGCTCACCAGTAGTTCTGGTAACAAAAGTGTTTACTCAGTTCCTATCAGGGTAATTACATGATGTTACTACAAACGACAAAGTCATTCTCCTGTATATTTCTGAGCTCTCGTTTCTAACACTGTGCTCTTTTCAGAGAAACATTCCTCTTACTTGTTAAACTAAAATAAGTCATTGCAGGAGAAATACACAGAGGAAAATGTTTTAGTCTCTAGGTATGGAAACAAGGTTGGTACTACTTCTGAAGGTGAAATTGCGTAGCTTTTAATGGATGTCTCACTTAAAATTACAAGGCACCTGCTCAAAATAAATGGGCAGGTGAGCTGTGCCTTGTAGTTGAAAAAACATAAAAGCAGGAAACAATTACAAGAAGTGTAGTTTTGAGATGGACAGTGGGTAAGAAAGCCAAAAGTGGAGACAAAATAAAAATATGTCCCTGAATATAATGTAACTCTATTACTGTCAGGAGAAAAGTGTGCATGGAGAGGGCACATTTGTAGTCATTTTTTCAGTCATGTATTTTCCCTTGAAAAACTTGAGTTAAAATAGCTTGTCCATAAAGATACTCCTGTAATAGCTATCACTGAAAAAACCTGCATGTAATATTGTACTGATGATTGTATTTTACTAAAAGAGATAGAATTGGGAACCTTTTTGAGTAAGTGGTTTGTGTGCTGTGTGTGCGTGTTTTGAGGTGGGAAGAGAGTTGCCTCAGAATACCAAGTAGCTTGGTGTGCTTACATTAAAAATGAAGAAACTTCTAGTCATTAGTATTGCTCTCCTGATTCTGCCAGGCATATTAACAGTTGCTGTTACAAATATAGCTGATATGTTTTGAAAATAGAGCTAGGACCATTGGCTTTTTGTGTTTTGTGTCAGGGGGAAATAGGCACAAATCTTTAAAATACAATGCACCCATTTTTATATTTTTGTACAGATGAGACACCAACCAACAATTCGGAGCTTGGTAAGTGAATCAGAATTCCAAGAAACACAAAGAGCAGGTTGATATGAGTTCAGCAGAACTGGGTAGGTGAACCGTTTCTGAACGATTCCAGCTCAGTAAGCACTGAGCTGGAATGTTTTTTCTTTTGGGCTTTTTTTTGTCATTTAAATGAGTATATTAGTATATACTCATGCTATAAAGAAAGCAGTTGGTGAATCTGGAATGCTCAATTTAATTTGTGTACCTGGCCCTGCCAACATAGTGACTTGTAATCCCTACAGTGGAACTGAAATGAAAGTATACTACTGTAACAGATGAATGTGAGAGAACATTGCAGTTGCCAGAAGATACAGATATAAGCAGTAAAATCTGCTCAGGCAGCAGAGGAGTTGAACAGCAAAATGGTAATTATGGTGCAGTCCAGCTTGTTTCGTAGCTCAAATTTGAAAGGGCCTAATGTAGCTCGGTAGCTAATGGCTAGGAAAGGATGTTCAAGTTTAGATAAGGAGGAATGGGGTTCATTGGGCCATCTCACCTCTTACTCAAAAGCTAGACCCACTGGCAAAAGCAACCTACCTTGTCTTTGGAGCTTGAGTAGCTGTCTGTTCACTTCTCAGTCAACTATTTAGATCCCATTGAAGCAGCTACCTCTCCTTCCTGTCTTGAAAACAAAGCTCTCCCTTTAATGAACTGTTTCAAGATGCATTCCTACTCATGATATGACTAGGTATCAAAAAAAAAAAAAAAAAAAAGCTACCTAAGCATACAGGTATCCCCTTTGCATTTCAGTTTTTGTTCCTACTTGTAATTATTCTGTATATAGCATATTTTAATGGTTTGACAGAGGTATTTGATACTGCTGAAAGATTCTAACCAGGCCCTACCTGTGCATTTTTGTTCTTCCTGCAGCTCATCCAAATGGACCTCCTTTCCAGCTGAATTCAGTAACCAGCACACTGATTTCAGGTGTGGTCATCCTAGGGATCACAAGCATTTTCTTTTTCATATGTTCCTTAACTCTTCTGCGCCAAAAGTGGCCCAACACCTCAGTTTTGACTGGCATCCGAAACCCAGTTTTCAACTGAAAGTGATGATTTACTTGCACTTTTTCTTTGGGGTTGCCTTTCTTGTCCATGAAATATATTTCCATTAAAAAATAACAACAAGGCAACATTCTGACAACATATCCTGCTTCTATTCCAGATATTCTTTATTTGTAGACTTGCTAGACATTACAGTATAGATAAGCAACACTGATATTGGTAACAGTTCTAGGAAATTATGAAAATCTCAATTGTTTGTGATCAGACTATATTGCATTCTGCCCATGGGTGTATTGACAATAAAACTTGTGTCTCCAGCTTTTCAGTAAGGTATTAAAGCTGAAGATGCTTAAGAGAGGAACATTTCCAAGTATACCATTCTTTTACAAAACCCAACACATTCAGAAGCATTTATAAGTCCACACACGCTTACTAAGATGAAGGCCATTTCTTTTTTTTTCCACATTTTGCACCACAAATTTGAAAATGGCTCAGGAGGAAATTTGCTCCTCTATATTGGGTAAAGCAAAAACACAGAAAGACATAGAATAATGAGTGATGTTTGCTTATTACTCATTTGGTAATCTTTTAATATGTCTTCATATCATCACTGAATTCTGGTTATAGTCCATAAGGTAAGACAGGGCAGAATTTGGCTGGGTATCCTTCTGAATCAAGTGGTTGTTTAGGATGAATTGCTCTTGGCCCCAGGGAAACATGCTGCAGTTTTTACTGAGGTGGAAAAACTTTTCCACTAAAACCATTGAGTTAGAATATGAAGGAGAGCTTTAAACCTAATTAAGGTTCAGCATAAAATTAGTTCTGCACAAAGTTAAAATTGCTATAGCTTCCAGTTAAATTCTAACCCTGTGAATTATTCCAAGGGGAAGAAAAAACGTCCCTCTTTTTTTCTCCTCCTTCAACAAATAATACAAACAAACAATGTCCAAACCTTCATTTCAGTAAAGCTCACAGCCTCATTTGTAAGGGCCAGTTTTCTGCATGATTTTCTCACTTCTCAGATAAAGTTTTCCATTATCTACATGAAGAGCTGTAGATCACAACTTCAGCAGATCTCTGCTGCATGAATGAGGGGAAGAGGGCAACTAGAAGAATAACAGGCATACAAGCATTACCCTACAGTTGACTCTAGCTAATCGGATAAAACTCAGACTTACCTGATTTGAGTGTGAGTGACCATGTGACTTCAAATAGGAAAAAAGGATAGTGGTGCAACTTCCTGGAATAGACAAAAAAACGGTGTTAGGGAAACCACAGTAGACAAAACACTCGACAGGTTAGGCAGTCGGGGTTTTGGTCACAAATTCAAATTAATGCAGAATCCCATTTTCATGTACTGTACCTACTGGTCTAGAAACACCTCATTGATATTTATCATCACCCTGTGTTAATCATGTCTGTGTTTTTGTTCATGTGATGCAACTGACTAATGATCAGGGCGCTTTGACTTTCAAGACTAAAGATGAATAAAAAACCATTTTCTCAGTTTTCTGTGATCCTGAAAATGCTGTATAAAGGCCTATTGTTCACAGAATGTCCACTGTGCTTTAGCCTGGTACCCCTAACAACCAATACTGTGCCTGTTTTCCTCCAGTCTTAATACCTCAGAAACATTTTTTGCACTTCAGGGTTTAGGTCTGATGACATGTAAAACCTGATTGTTTAATAAAATTGTTTGAAACATTTCAGAATGGCTATTTTGTCTGATTATTATTGTTGCAGTTTTGTATTTGTTTTCAGTTTTGTATTTGTTTTCATCCTGCACAAATGAAAGCTAGACATGCTTATTTAAGTCACATTTTGGTAAGAGCTTTCAATATTCAGGATAAATTAATGTAAGTATAACTTTACTCTTCTGGTCCTCAAAGAGGAGACTTTGCACTCTGGAGACTTGCATCAAGATCTGGATATACAGAAATTCAGATAATTGACTTATTCGTAAAGACAACTGCAGAAATTCCATAAAAATAAATTTGACTTCATAACCAGTAGTATTAGTTGAAAGTTTCCAGTGATGGGGATACTGCTACCATTCTTAGTCATCTGTTCCAGCAGTACTTTAGTACTTTGCTAGCCTTGAAGGTGCCCAGCTTAGTTTTCCAGCCGTTAGAAACTGTTGTGCCTTTTTCTGCGAGACTCATGGAGACTCCTAACATAAATCCCTCAGATTTGTTTGCTAAAGGTGCATAGACAGTGCTAACTCATGTGTTACCCTTTGATAATCTAAGCAGCTCTTCTCCTACAAAGCATATTTTCTAATCGTTAAAAAAAAAAAAAAAGCTGTAGTATATCATCTTAATTCAAGTTTTACTTATTTTCTGAGAAAAGCCTGTTGTATTTTCATAGAGAGAAGTAATTTACAGTAATAAACTTGTCTGTCACAGTTTTAGTGTCTTGGATAACCTGTTTTTATTGGATAACAACTGAATATTTATGTAACATGCACAATGTTTTCCTATATTAAAATTTCAGAAGTGGTTTGTTGTGGAAGACCTAGAATAGATGGTGTTCTGTGTTGCTTGTATGACTTTTCCTTGTTGAAAATTTCATTTAGGTGCAAAAGGGTGATCTCACGTTAAATTAGTGAATAAGATTCCCACAGTCAGCTGTAGGAGCCGTGACGGAACTTGATGTGGATTGAATATCTGTGTCTCGATCTTTCATTAAATTAGTTAAATATTTGCTCCTCTTTGGCAAAGCAAATGCGGAGATTCACAGGCGGAAAGTGATAAGTAAAAATAGGCTTATTGATTCACAGATTTGGCATGGGGATGCTTTCGAAATGTTTTTAGGGGAGCTGAAAACTTAAGTCAGAACGTTTGAATATTTCTAGCAGGCGCAGGGCTACAAGGGTGATCAGGGGCCTGGAACATCTGCCCTGTGAGGAGAGGCTGAGGGAGCTGGGCCTGTTCAGCCTGGAGAAGAGAAGGCTGAGAGGGGATCTAATCAGTGTATATAAATACCTCAAGGGAGGGAATGCAGGGGACGGTGATGGTCTCTTTTCAGTGGTGGCCACTGATAGGACTAGAGGAAATGGCCGGAAACTGAAACACCAAAAATTCCATAGGAACTTAAGGAAAAATTTCTTGACAGTGAGGGTGACAGAGCACTGGAACAGGCTGCCCAGAGAGGTTGTGGAGTCTCCTTCTCTGGAGATCTTCAAAACCCGCTTGGACGCAGTCCTGTGCCCCGTGCTCTAGGTGTCCCTGCGTATGCAGAGGGGTTGGACTAGATGATCTCTAGAGGTCCCTTCCAACCCTAAGCATTCTATGATTCTATGATTATCTGGGTTTGCCTGAAGGAAGGATACAGGTATTAGGGAACTCGTGGAGGCCCCATCTCGTGGCCTCATCCCTGTGACTGGTTTCCAGAAAGAGTTAAATTAGGTGTGGGGTGAATGTGCATAAAGGCTGCACACTGCTTTTTGAAGGGCAGAACCTTTGATCAGAAGGAAGGGAGAAGGCATAGGTAACATAAAGTGAGGAGAGACTCCCAGCTCTTGAGATACCAAGTTTTTAATGGAACGGTGAATTAAAAAAGATGCTTTGTACTGCAAGTGAGGGAACTCAAGTACCTAATGGGTGTCTCAGGTTTTAAGTGACACTAAAGTACAAAAAGAATACTGGCTCTGCTAATAAGTACAATTCTCTTGGGGTGGCCATTTGCCTATGTTTAAAAACTGTGTTTGCACAGAGGTTGGATTTCACAGGTGTTGGTAAGCACAGTGTGCTTAAAAGTTCTCAGGCCAGTGAGCTAAAGTGAGAAGTAGGCAGAAAAGAAACCAAATCAGACTCTATGCTTAGGTCTAAATCCAAGAGAACACAACAAATCTATAAAGTGATGAAAACACTTCCTTGGCTCCTGCCTTTGGAAGAAATAAATAACATATCCAACTGGAGCTAAACGCACCGGTGTTCCGGATAAATTGAGCTGATGTTTGACAAATAGGCCTCGGCAAGTGGAGCTGAAAGTAAATCCTGTTTCCCGCTTCATTCAGCAGGTAATGTTTCTTACTCTTACCTTTTGATATCTCTTAGGCCCCCACAAACAGTTGATAAGAAGCAGCCTTGGCTAGTTAAACTACCTATCTCCTCATCTGAAGGAGAGATGGGCAGGAGTATTGTGATAAACTGGGAACTTTTCCAAGTGTGGCAAATAAATTCTCAGGTTACACCCAATTTTTATTTCAGTGTTCTTTCGACCTTTTGAGTGCTTTTCAGACAGAAACACGATCATCACCTTTTTTTTTTTTTTCTGATAATGTGATGGATGAGGAAGGGAGAGCAGAGAACAGCTCTACAGATTCATTAGTGGATGGACTGGCCTTCTTAATATACTGGTAGTTTGAGGTATATTATCACTCTTTGCTGCAATGCCTTTTTTTTTTTTTTTTTTTTTTTTTTTTTTTTTTTTTTTTTTTTTTTTTTGAAAAGTTACTACTTTTCAAAATACAGCTCTGTCATTATTTACTAGTTAACAAGTAAGTCTTTTCTAGATGCTAACCTGTTTCTACAGTTAGGAAGCCCTTCCTCAGGCAGATGAACAACACTTCTTTATGCTTTCCATTTTCACAATATGATCTACCTTGTGAGGAAGGTACATTAGTTACTGCTGGCAAACGAAAGAGTTGCCAGCCTGCAAGATTTGAAATGCCAATAGTGTGTTTGTAGCCCACATTTTTGGACTTTGTGGCATAATGTGGAAAGTGCTTTGTACTAAACCCGCACAACAAGTCTTTAGGACCAAGAAATACCACTTAATAAAAGTTCCAATATTTTGCAAGTTATTTTGCAATCTACAGATAAAAGGAGAAATCTTCAGTGCTTTGACTATCAAGACTGTTGGTGTTCTGGAATTGCGATATCCTAGCATGAGCAGACATCCAACTCCGTATACATCCTGAACTGGCTTATTTATGTTTAAAACCTAGGTGCATTTGTCAAATATACTTATTTTGCATAAACATGAAAAAGGTTTGCTTCAGCATGTTTTCATCCAATTTCCTTGTAATGGAGAATGAATCAGGAGAGGCTGTGTGTTCCTGCCAGCAGTGTACTAAATAATCTCCTGTCAACACGA